AGAGGAGAGGAGAGGAGAGGAGAGGAGAGGAGAGGAGAGGAGAGGAGTGGAGGAGAGGAGAGAAGTGGAGTACTGGGCCTGGCATGGACTTTTGAAACCACAAAGCCCACCCCCAGTGACATACTTCCTCCAAAAAGGTCACGCCTCCTAATCCTTCTAATCCTTTCCAAATAGTGCCACTCCCTGATGATTAAACACTCAAATATATGACCTATTGAAGGGGGGCATTTTTATTCAATCCATTACACAGGCTCTCACTGTATTTTTGCTAGTCTATAGATCAGGCTGGCCTCAAACTCACAGTGATTCCCTTGTTTCTGCTTTAGGAGTGCTAAGATTAAAAGTGTGTACAACAGAGCCCAACCAATCTTTTAATAGGAAATTTAAGGAAAAATGCCTAGCTCTGGGTGTTGGATAGATGGGTCAGTTGGTAAAGTACTTTCCATGCAAATGTGAGGACCTACATTCAATCCCCCGCAGCCATTTAGAGACCAGGTTTGGCAATGTGCCAGTAATATCTCAGTGCTGGGGATACAGACAAGAGGATCCCTGGAGCTCAGCACCCGGTCATCTTAGCTGAATGGGTGAACTTTGGAGTCCAGTGAGAAATCCTATCTCCAAAGACAAGGTACAGAATGCCTGAGGACAGTGGCTGAAGTCCCCCTCTGGCCTCACATATATAGGCACTGTATACACATGCACACACACACACACACACACACACACAAATGCACACATACATCAGCATACACATATTCACCCCTACATACGCATATAAGGAAGAAGGAAGGAAGGAAGGAAGGAAGGAAGGAAGGAAGGAAGGAAGGAAGGAAGGAAGGAAGGAGAAATCTGTGAGTCAATGTGATGAATTTGCTGTCCACCTATCTCCTTCATGCTAAAGGGAAGACAGAGAAATATATAATAGAGTTAATTCTGTAGGTGATAAAGTTCCATAAGTGGTGTTGGGGACTGTGGACCCCCAGACCCTGAATTTCCTGTGATCCCCTTGTTTGCTGAAGTAAACAACTTGTTAAGCTCTGAGCAAAACACCTTGTTTTCCTGTGTTTGCAGCTGCTCTGAGCACGAGACCCTCAGGAGTTCCTGATGGCAGGGGAGTGGATTCTGGTGGCTCGTAGCTGAAGGATTCAGAGAGCTAGGGCGTGGCCATTGATCAGAGAAGGATCCCTACAGAAGCTGCCCTGGAACACAATAAAGTTAGCATTATTGGCATTCTTGGGGAATGCAAGGATGACCAATGTCTCTGTCTCTGTGTGTTTCAATCTCCAGCCCCTCGCCCAGCTGTGAACCATCGTAGTGCAGACAGTACGCTACAGGTGTAGCACCATAGTACACGTAGTACAGGTGCTACGGGACTGTAGTACACGTAGTAGCACGGATGGCACACATAAGTAAATTAAAGAGGGTTATCCTGGTTTGATTTCAGTTGCTGTTGATAAAAACCATGACCACAAGCAACTTGGGGGAGGGTTGTGCTATGAATGGGAATGGACCCCAGAGGCTCAAAAATTTAAATGGTTGGTCCCCAGTTGGTGGAACTGTTTGGGAAGAATTAGGTGTGCCCTTGTTGGAGGGGGTGTGTCATTGAGGGTAGGCTTTGAGGTTTTAAAAGCCCGTGGCATTACCTGCTAGTTCTCTCTCTGCCTTGTGCTTGGGATAAGGATACAAGCTCCCAGATACTGCTTTGGTACCATGCCTCCTTGCCTGCTGCCGTCATCCTGACCATGGGTCATAAAGTCACCCTCTGAAACTGTAAGCCCCAATAAGCTTTCTTTACTGTAAGTTGGTCTTGGCATCTTACCACAACAATAAAAAAAATTGACTAAGACAGGGATGAAATGATTTATTTGGTTTACAGGTTACAACCCATCATTAAAGGAAACCAAGGCATGAATTGAGGCAGGAACTGAAGCAGAAATCATAGACCCTATGACATAGAGGAATGTTGGTTACTGGCTTGCCTTCCCGTGGCTTGCTCAGCTACCTAGGCCCACCTGCCTGGGATGGCACTGCCCACAATGTGCTGGGCCCTCCCATAGCAATTACCAACCAAGAAAATTCTCCACAGACAGGGCAACAGGGCAATCTGATGGGGGCAATTTCTTGATTGAGGTAGCTTCCTCCCCGAGTGTGTTGAATTGACAGTCAAGATTAACAACTATCTCCGGGTGATGGTGCTACTGGAAACGAGGCATGGAGGCTGCTTTAGGGAGGAAGGTAAGGCTTGTCTGACAGGAGACTCGCAGGGAGATGGAGGTGTGCGGTGGAATCATCCTCTTATGCACTGTTACGATGTGTTGCTCTCATTGGTTTAATCAAAAGCCAACTAGCCAAAAGCTCAGCTGATAGCTCAGGCTTGTTTCTAACTAATTCTTATAACTTAAATTAACTCATATCTTTTAATCTACATTCTTGCCCATATTGCTTCCTCTGCATCTCCTGGCATCTCTTCCCTTCTTCTTCCCAGCATTCCCTCTGCCCCCCAAATCCTGCCAAGGCATTAGCTTTGTATTAAACCGATCACAATAGCATATCTTCACACAATATAAAGGAATATTCCACAATAGAGGTGCTCTTGGGAAGAGTTAGGAGAAAGAGATGAAGGCTCCCACAGAAGGAACCTCAGAGCACAGGCTGAGGCTGTCATAAACCTGGCCTCTTGTAGGCAGGGTAGCTGGATGGAAGGAATAAGGCAGAAGATCACACCAAGAGGATGGGGAGGGGGTGTGGATCCCAGAAGACTTGAGATAGTGATGAGGAATTTATAATTGAATAAGGACATAGCATGATCTGAATTTTCAAAACTTGGCCACTCTATAAATTGAACAACCTACCCCAGATTGTTCAGAACTTTAATTTTAGCACCGAAAGTCCCATGTTGCATTGAATACAGGAGAAAGCTAGTCACCATGAGTGTGGAACAGGTATGAAACTGGGCTTACTTTTAGATCTCCCGGAGATGTCATTCATTCCCAAGAGCTCACCTAAGTCTACCTTACGTACCTTTCCTACCTAAAAGCTCTCTTGACACCATGTCAGTCACGTGTTCGTCTCTTTAACAAAACACCCGGCACTTAAGGGCGGGAATGATTTATTTTGACTCGTGGTCACATGCTCTCAGAGGTCTCAGGCGTGGACCCTTGATTTGTGGATCCAGAGTTTATGTTGAGACAGAACATTATGGTGGCAAGAATGTGTGGTAAAGGTAACCACCCTCATGAAACAGGAAGCAGAGAGAGGAAGCTCTGGGGACCAGGCCTCGCCTTCAAAGGGATACTTACAGTGACTTAATTTCTCCAGCTAGGCCCCACCTCTTAAAGACTTAATAACCTCCCATAGTAACATCACCATCTGGGGACCAGGTGATCAGTGCACGGACCTGTGGGGGAAATTTCACATTCAAACTGTAAAAGGGGGCTCCTTTTTCTTTAAAGATCACACAGGAATCCTAATCTGGCACGCAGAAAATAGCAGGAAGGACCTCTAGTTGGCATAGGCACAGTGGGTGCCCTGCTTAGTCAAGACTATCCAATTACCCCCATGGCTGCGCTCCAGCACAAGTGAAGTGCCCTTTCACCACTCCCCAGTTAGTCCTCCTCTCTGACATAGGCCCCTCTAAACCTCCCTTCTTTGAGCTTAAGCTGGGCTCCTCAGAGCTCCCAGGAGCTGCAACTCTCCTTTCTCAGGGTGGGGAGACTGAGACAGATCCCCCAGCCGTGGTAGCCAGCCAGCCTAGGTCAGTGAGAGGCCATCTCACACATAAGGCATTTGCACATGCAGGAACATGTGCTCACACATATACACACACACTCATTGCTGAAAATGTCACTTCTGACTCAGCTTCTGCAAATGCAGAGACATCATGAAGATGGTTTACGGTGCCTCTATAATTGAAAAAAATTAGGGGTTATAACTATTAAAAAGAATGAGAAAAGGGTAGCAGGTTTGTAGGAAGGAACTGATACAAAATAACCCCTCAGAATGAACTTTACTAGGGGAGAGAGGCTCACAACCTTGGACAGGCATGATCCGGACATAGTGGGCCTTAGAATTGGAGAACATTAGAAGAGATGGCTACCATGTAGGCATGACGGGGGTCCTGACGGGAGAGTCAGAGCCTCCAGTTCTATGGGACAAAGGAGGTTTCTGATTCTAATAACTTTTCAGGGGAATAGGCAAGTTCCATACCACGTGGTCTAGCCTGGCCTAACCTGGCCTGGCCCATGTATCAGGAATTGGGATGGCACTGATGAAAGCCAAGTTGTAGCTCACAGTTTGTAGAATGAGGGGCTGGCTTGTTGGGGTATCTGTCCTGCCCAGTACCCCACAACCGGCAAGTCCCAGAGAAAATCAACCACACAGAGATCTCTATAAGTTATAAAGCTGATTGGCCCATTAGGTCAGGTTTCTTATTAGTCCTTGTAACTGATATTAACCCATTATTCTGATCTATGTTAGCCATATGGCTTGGTACCTTTTTCAGCTGTCAGCTCACATGTTGCTTCTCTGGTGGTCTGGGCAGGAATGGCTGAGGGAGCTTCCTGCTTCCCAGAATATTCCTGTTCTCATCGCCCCACCTCTACTTCCTGTCTGGTTGACCCACCTATACTTCCTGCCTGGCCAATCAGCGTTTTATTAAAATACATGATTGACAGAATACAGACAATTCTCCTGCACCAACAGTTGTCTTTAGTGTAGGCATGGGGAAGCCTGGGCTTGCTCAGAATAGCCAGGGGAGGGGGAGAACTGGACAGAACACTTTCTCAACAGTCCACCCCAGAGGGAGAGCAGCACGGGGATGTGACCTGATTTCTAGGAGAGGGAGGTAGCAAGAGGACTGTGATCTAACATGATGCCTGTCCCCCTGCTTGGGAAATGATATGGTGATGGCGATGTCAGACTAAGAACAGAGAACTTGTCAGCAAACTTCCCTGCCTAGAGCAAGTGTGAAAGGCAGGCGGTAGAAGATGCTGCCACGAGTTACTCTAGATGGTAGTAGAGACAGAGAGACGGGGACACTTGTCAGACATTCATTAGAGGCAACAAGTGCCAATGGATACAGGAGTTGAGACTCAGAGTCACGAAAGCATCCTCCAGCTTGAGCACTAGCCACATGAACTTACGAGGACACAGGGCCTTGTGCCCACACACCCGGCAGGACTGAGCAGGAGACAGCTGTCTTCTGCCTTGAATGAGAAAGCTTGAATGGGATGTGGAATTGGTGATCCATCTGGGGCGGTCGTTTTCATGTTGTGGTGACCCCAACCATAATTTTTTTTCCTTGCTTCTTCATAACTATTATTTTGCTGCTTCTATGAATTATAATGTAGATAACTGACATGTTGGATATGTGATATGTGATCCCCAAAGGAGTTGGAACCAAAGGTTGAGAGCCACTTATCGAGGGAATTACTCTAAGTTACTAGGGAAGACTAAGGTTCCTCTTGGGGGGCTCTTACTCTCATTAATAAAATAAAATAATTTTAAAAAGGGGTTCAAAAGGAAACTTAAGGACAATTTTTATTAGAGTTTGAGAGAAAAAAAATATAGTGCAGAGTAACTGAAAACCTTAAGCAGCCACCAGGGGGAGAGAAGATTGTGGAAAAGTCATGTCTTTTAATTTAGCTGTCAGGGAAAACATGCTTGGGAGGGCTGAGTCAGAGATCTGAATTCAGAGGGTGCCTAATTCTAGGCTCTTGTGTCCCAGGGCAAAGACGACACAGAGGAGAGATGGTTGGAAATAGGGCTAGTTTACTAAGAAGTGGGATGGGGGAGGCTGGAGAGGTAGCTTAGCGGTTGAGAGAACTGACTGTTCTCCTAGAGGACCAGGGTTCAATTCCTGGCACCCATACGGCAGCTCACAACTGTCCGTGGATTCAGTTCCAGGGAACCTGACACCCATGGCAAAACACCAATGCACATAAAATAAGAATAAATCATATATATATATATATATATATATATATATTCTTTTATATATATAAAAGAATGAAAGTGGACTGAAAAAGGAGCCCTGAAACAACCGTTCATGCTGCATGGACTTTACAGTTCCTGTCTCTTCCCTTTGTACTTCTCAAGGCTGACACGTGTTCTGTTATGCCCAGGTATGGGAGGGCTTCCAGTCTTCCTCTGCAAACTGGTTTCATATGTTAATGTTTCCACTCAGTCCCTATTCTTATGCCCCAAGAGCATCCTCACACTATGTGAAGATGA